TATATATATATATATATATATATATATATATATATATATATATATATATATATATAAACGAAAACCAGTGAGAACCTGTTATGGTTTCAGCATTTTTTTTTCCAAATTCTAATTCATTGTCATACCGATGACTGATCCTGGAAAAACACTGCGTTAAGGGCTCGCGTATCTTCGATTGCTTGTATTTCAGTCAGTTTATCGCCTTGATAATTGGGGAGGTGTCTGGGTACAGCATGTAAAGAGTGATTTGGTGTAGGTGTTGCCAAGTTTTCGGTGTGATATACGGGTGCATTCATAGATGAATGAATGCAAAAACGCTTCAGTTGTTTGAAACCCATTATTGGTTGCCCAAAAATTATCTGTAAACGTTGTTTTACATTTTCTTGTTTTTTGAGTTTTTGTCTAACGGATGAATTTCCAAAAAGAAGTTCAAGACAAACTCCATTAGTATTTTCACATGATGCATAGTTTTTTGACAACATACATTAAAGAATAACTGAAATAACATAAAGAGTAAGTCTGACCGATTCTGGTTAGACTATTTGGTTTCAAGATTTAAACTTACCTGACAAGGCTCAACTATTGTCGCAAAGACAACCGATATTCTAAAAAGGAAATAATGTGAGTTGCAAAAGTAGAAAAGGCAAAGATTCAGGCAAATAATTTTGAATGGTCGCTAGGGATTAAAGGGTCTGAGACTTGATAAAAGAAATTGTTGAATGTTTTTACGCAAGATTTATGACGGTAGCTTTCAGAAATGCATTTCTCATTTTATATGGCTTCATCAATTAAATACGCTGCACAAATGAAACTACACAGCTAGTCGTGATGCCCATTCTCAACCCTTTGGAGGCAATGTTATTTGCTTTTATATTACTAGGATTCGACAATATCCATTAGCTTACTTTTGGAGCATTTTCTAGTATGATGGAGTTCTAGTTACTACGTATACTCTTCCGGTGAACAAATTGACATTTTTATACTACAGCATCGATCATTCATCGATCTGAAGTGCTTACACAAATCATTCTTTAAACAGTCCAATCCGGATCCAAAATATTTACCAACTAGATCCTCTTGCTAAAAAGTTGGAAAAAAATCCAACTTTCGTTTTCCAAAATGTTTAACTAGTACTAATCAAAGAACAACATTACCTTCGGTCTCTGTAGTGATGAGTCTTATGCTTAAAATGAAAACTAGAAATTTGCTAGCACTTCAAGATATTTTTGGCATTCATTCGAAAAGGTCTAAAATGTAGTTCGTTTTCACTTCGTTAAATAAGACCCAGTTTCTTTTTGAAACTTGTACAATCTAGGAAAATTGAGTGGCGTAATGAATCCTTTATCAGTGAGACTGCTTCAGTACAAAATTAAGAATGTAAGACTACCACTAATCCTTGTGTTGGGCAATTGCACACTCACAACAGGCGTCATAGCGAATTGCTGCCCAAACAGTTATATATTTCCTCCTTAGTATACCAATCAGTGCGTTTAAGTTCAATTTACTATGAAACAAAGTATACTTCTACGGAACTCTTTATTATTAGCCTGATTTAACAAAAAGTCATATGATAATCTCAAAACACAAAAATACACAAGCCGTAGAAATCAAATCTAAATGTAGCGTGAAAATAGATATTTGTTAGCACAACAAGGTATTCAAAAAATGCAAATGCAGAAAAAACATAAGGCTCGCAACGGCTATTATGACGATAATACAAAAGAGCACAAATAATGAGAAATAACACCGACCACCTGTAGCACGTCTTCTTCACCCTGCAATTTTTATAATGCTTAATTTCATTATACTTCATTACTTGATCGCATCAGCAGTTTGTGCATTCAATCTAGAACATTTCTTGTTGCGCTTCTGCATACCAACCACATCAGACATGAGTTTGGTGAAATATAAGCGTCATACTATGTATTCCGTTACCGCTTGTAATAATCAGTTTATTCAGCTTGTCGTTACTCTGTTCGCTTGGAGCTCATGAAATACATGTCCACCCGCGCATGGGCATGACCCATCTTCTGCTCTTCTCATACAATCTGGTCAACAAAACATGTTCGAGCTTGGGAATACAGTGATCCCTTTATTTTCGTAAATTCAGTTTTCGACTTGCAACTGAATTGGCAGAAAGGATTTTATAAGAATTATTTAATTCACAGTAAGTTGGAAGACTCTCCAGTAAGTTAGAAAGTTATCTAATTCGTGCCAAATTCTTCCAGTAATCAGTGATTTAACAAACAAGAATAATAAAGTTCGTAACCTGTAAGATTTTCTTGTATGGGTACTGTAATCACAGATACCCGTTGTTCGATACATTATAATATGCAACGCACCATGAATCATTCCTGTCACCTGTAAAATATTCACAGCTGAAAAAAAACCCCAGTCTTTTCTTCTTTCAACAAAAATTAGAAACTTGGAGGAAATTCTCTGTCATTAAAATTAACCAACACATAATGAATTGTAAAGTGGACCTGAAAGATGGAGAAAGCGAGAACATGGCGAAAATGATTATCTTTGGATGAGATAGCGCTAACCATTGCTAAGAAAAATAATTCTAATAAGCCAAGGAAACAAGTGAGATAACGGAAAATACTTTGTACAATAGTTTCCAATGGGGTTCTGAATAACTGTGCAT